TCACAAAAAATTGGATTTCACCATGAAGCAAATGTTGACACTCATCCAAAAACTGAAATGTGTTTTTTCAGACTCACTGACTGCCCAGACAATGAAACCTATGGATCGAATCATCGACGTTAATGGAGTTCCTGTCAAGGACAAAGATCTTTGCAAGAAATTAGTGCTCAACAATTTAGTGGTAATCGTGGTAAACTGCTTCGATGGTGTAAAAGAAAGGAATTGCTTAGATAAATGGAGAAGCAAATATGATCGTTGAGCGTCCTGTTGAAACTGCCGCCGTAGCTGTAATGGCGGTAATTTGTTGTCGATGGAAAAACTGTCTTTTATCTTCAATCTTTTCTAGAAATCGATGGCTATGTCACAAATGCAGCCACCATCACTAGCTTTGCCTGACGATGTGAAATCTATCTTACGTCGCTACAACGAGAAGTTAAAGCAGGGTCAAGGGAAGATAGAACCTGTAAGTTCCCAATAAACCAAAGTTTCGAATTAATGGTGCTGTTCGCAGTTCCGCGCTCTCGTTGATCCGAATAATCCAAATCAAGTGATACAACACCCAAAACGCGAGGCTCATCTTGATCCGACTGTTTCCCACATCTCCGTGATAATTCCGACTGATGACGAAAGTAGACTCAATGAACTTGTGGTGAGCAAGAATTTTAGTTCATTCTGCTCAAAACTCATCATGTATCCATAAGGAGGTAATAGTAGTGTAAATTTACGACAAAGCACTCAATCACCGCTCCATTTTACAAAAAGATTACAACATTAAAAGCACCGTCCACCCAGACTAAAGTTAATTGGTGAGATCTTGAAGAGATTTTGACGTTGTATAATAGCGGGCTTCCAACTAACGAGAAAAACGCTCCGGAATGTAGAAGCTTGTCAGAACCTCCGCCTTCAACGTGGGCGGTTTGAAGCTAAAACCTAGTCGGGCTTTGATGTATCTAGTGTTGTCATGTGCGCCCATCAATTTGATGATCAGGATTGATATCCAAGTCCCCGCAAAATAGGCTTTTCGTGCGAATGAAATGGGCTTAGTCCATAGGTGCAATAAGATATCGCATTTGAAATCCGATATTCAGAGTCTTTCCATTTTTGCATAAAACTCGAAACTCGAATAATGAAAAAAACGGGTTTTCCAATAAAATTCGAAAACTCAATCAAAAAACGGGGTTTCGAATAGATTTTTTCGAATGTT